CTAGAGGGCTGCAGGGTGCAGTATTTTCGTAACCTGTAACCTGCCCTGTAAAAATTCTGCAACCTAATCCTGTCTTGCCCTGTGAATTTTTTCGCGTACCCTGCCCTGAGACTTTTTTTCATAACCTGTAACCTGCCCTGCCCTGCCCTGCTATATTTGATATTACAAAAAAATTCATAACTTTTCATCGACTTCGTATATCAATTCTCCTACTTTATGTTGTTTTATGCTTCGATATTCTTCTTCGTATAAAATTTTTCAAAAGATGTCTATAATGTTTGATTCGATAAATTAATAGCAGGTTAACAGGTTATGACAGTGCTGCCCTGTAACCTGCCCTGTAAAAATTTCGTAACCTGACCCTGCCCTGCCCTGTCCTGTCCTGGCAGGGCAGGGTAGGGCAGGACAGGTTATGAGCACCCTGCAGGGCTCTACCCACACCCACACCCCACACCCACACCCACATCCCACACCCACCCACCCACACCCACACCCACACCCACACCCACACCCTATTTACTATTTAAAATAAGTTATCTCTTGTGTAGAAATAAGACGTAAAACTAATTTCATAGACAATAATGATCATTTTCAGATGAATTTAAGAAACTTTTATGTATTTGATATGATGAACATATTAATTCGAATAATTTCATCATTGATGAATTATATCCAAAAGTACTTAATTGTGTACGATTAACTCTTTTATCTTTGTCTGTGTTTGATGTTGTTGATGAATATTTATCATTCTCTTTAAAAAGAAAAAAAACAAATGAATTCGTTCAAACGAAACATGATCAAATATATTCTTCATATCTAACACTTTGAAACTCCTTTCTTCTGTGAAAACTGAAATATTAACTATAGGAAATTGTCTTCTGCCCAAAAGAATAATGATTGTGAATATTTTTGCAATAGTTCGAGAACGGTAATAAAATAGTTGAATTTTCGAATTACTTGAATCATTTGTGCTACTTTCAAAACATTTTTTCATTTGTTGAGATTTGATAAATCTCCAAATAAAAACAAAGAATTCAAAAAAACGTAATAAATATCTTTTTTTTTTCTCTTTACTTGAAAAGATTAAATTATTAAGATCATGTAATATAAAGGGATGTTTAAAAAAATTTACTAAATAAACGAAGTGCATCATATTGATTATGAAAAAAAAATGGTGAAATAGTTGTTAGTCTTAAAACATTTAAAAGAATATAAATATCTTCTAAACATCCAACCTATATAAAAGACCTAAAATAACAAACAATTTGTATTCGAGTTGATGCTTGAACGTGTAATGAATGGTGAATTTTATATATCCATTGACATGGTAAAAATGAATTGTAATCAACAAACCTTAAAATAAAAAAGTAGCTAATAACTAACTTAATGCAATAAAATCGACTTATGCATTCAAATTCGAAAAAAACTACCTAGTTAACATCTCTACAAAATGCATACTTAGCAAAAGTCGAAGCAGTTGCTTGACGAACATGTATATCAGGATACTGTTGGTGTTCAAGATAAATTAATATTCGAAAATTAATATCATCTATAAGTTGAGCCAGAGCAACCTATTTTATATACATACAAAAAAAAAATTATTATAATCATAAATTTCTTTTATCTATTTTAGCAAGAATATAGGAACTTGTACTATGTTGAATAAAAATCTTCTAATAATTCAATTCCTATGATTGTAAATGCATGACTATTAATTAACAATAAAAGGTAATAAAGTTCGTAAAGCATTTATTTAATGAAACATGTATAACACGTGCATTATTATCATTAAGACATAATCGAAATGTAGAAAGTAATTCAGCTAATATACCTAATTGAATATTTCTAAAAACAAAAAACGATTAATATTCTAACCTAATCTTGAACTGTCTTGTGAATCAGTTGATACAAGTGAACATTGATTAATAAAAGAATTATTAAACAAATTTGATGATGATGATAATGTTAAAAGATGAATTGTTGTTTGAATTAATGTAACAAGTAAATTTGCACATGCACCACGTAAATGTAGATCACCGTGTTCACATAAAGATAAAATATATGTAATATCTTAAAGAAAAGAAGAGAAAAAAAGATACCTTGATGTTCGATAGATTTTAATGTATTATAAGTCATAGAGAGATGGGAATTTCATTTTTTCTCATTAGGAAATTTCATATCAATTACAAAATTATATTTAATCAGAAATTCTCAAAGACTAATGAAAAACTCCTTAGAGGATACAATTGATTTCATATCATAATGAAAAAACGAACATCGTTTTCGTACTAAATATGTACAGAACTCGAACTTCAGCTTAGAACTATTTTTGAGGTAATTATATGATTGTATAATTTCAATCTCTGATATATAAGTGCAGCCTTTGAGCTTCAATAAAGTATTCTACTTGATATCTTTTTGAGTCTGATAATGTTCTAGTCTTTTGTTCGTTTCAAAAAAATTAAAAGTAGGAATAGGACTAGAGCTGCTGAACCAATATCGAGAAATCTGCATTCTTGAGTTTTCAGATTCCACTATATATATGATTCATATCGTTTTGTTTCAACAATATAATAGTGAAATTGTCATGTAGCTCCTTCACCGGATTGATCCGTCTCACCTAAGCCCTCCTACTGTTACAACATTGGAAATAATTTTGGATTATAAAATAAATCTATTTTACTGAAGTGAAACTTTACAAAAAGAAGCTTCAAACATGCTTTCAGTAGGATAATCAAATCGACCAAATTGTTGATAAATACGATAGACATATTGGTATAGCATATTTAACACTAATTCGTGATTCATCATCACTTTTTATCGTACCATCAATATTGAGTACATATCTAATTGGAAAAAAATATAATTGATTAACAAGTTTAGCAGCTGATGTTCGTGTTTCATTATTAATCATTAATATTGAATAAGCTATTGTTTTAGGAAAAAAAAACACAAATAAAAAAACTCTTGTTTCTTTCTCAATATTTACCTGTTTGTAATGTTTGACTAACACAAGTTTTTCCTATAGATCCAATTTGAGTTGAAATTAATAATTGATCAAAATCAAATAAATTTGAATATTCAAGTATAATTTCAAGCATTTCTAATGAACTTGATACAACATTATGATCATTATGTCGTAAACAAGTATAACACACCATATCAACATGAAAGAAAGATTTACATTGAAAATAAAATCATTCATTATTTGTTGAATACTGATTGAAAGATGTTGTTCATTTATATCAATATTTTTACTTCTATTTATTGATTGTCGACTATTGCTTGATGATGATTGAAATTCTTAGATATTCAAACCAAGTAATTGAGGATGTGGATGGAGGTGTGTAGGAATAAGCAATACAAACACTCACATCCACCTCTAAAAATGCCTGAGTCTTCTTAAAGCACATTCACCATACTTTCTTCGGATGCATCTAACGAAGTTTGAATGGTAAATAGAGTTTTTCATACATCGAACGATAAAATAAAAAATATGAAATTTTTCATTTATTTATTTTGAAGCTTTCAACACTACTTCTATGATTATCAATTTCAAAAAAAAAATTTTACGATAGAAAATATTGCGATGACGAGTCAACCATACATTTTAACAAGGGCGTATTATTCACCCCGGTTTGACATTAGGATTTATTGCATTTTTACTGCTTTTCCTCCGCCTACATTCTACCTGAAAATTTTTTGTCTTCGTTTTGAATAAAACATATGACAAAATACAAAATCGACTCAGCTCATTACAAATATTATCTTAGTTTTTTTTCTTAACCATTTCGATGAATGGCGAGAACAATTTTCCAAGAAATTACGCACGCTATCCGTTATTTTTGATTGGGTATCGATCTTGTATAAACACTTGAAAACAAAATTCAATATAACATTCAAATATTCTTGATGAAATGATGCAGAAATGAAGATATTTCAATATGTTAAACAGATTATAAGATTGAACTACAAGCGAAACCTCTAGTCAATTGATATGTGCGACTTCTTTTTAAGTTATTTCGCTTTACCATTTCA